TCCCTTGTTCTTGGACACTTCTCTAAGCTGCAGCTACAGGTTACCATGAGAAGAATTATTTTATGCTACAGGTCCTTCAGATCTGGCTCAGTTATGCATTAGAAGTTTGCTATGTTAATGTTAGAAAACAAGAACAAGTTAACAGTTCTACTCTGAAGGCAATTTCCTACATTAAATCATCTAAAACCTGTATGCATTTATGATTGTGGAGATTTATTCAATTGCCTAATTTACTTTATTCAACATTATTTTCTACACACTGCCAATGCAGAGAGTGATAAACCAGCAAGTTCCAACCAAGCTGATTTTGAGACTAAAAACTCATAAGATGAAAAGTGCTGTGAACAAAGCAGGTCTGGCCCTTTTGAATATTAAATATCATCCTCAGTCATCTAAAGATGAGAATTCCTTCCCCTCCCTATCTTTCAAAGGTGAAATTACAAATAATGCAGCCCTGGAACAGGCTGCCCAGGGAAGTGGTGGAGTCAACATCCCTGGAAGTGTTCAAAAAACGTGGCTGTGGCACCTGAGGACATGGTTTAGTGGTGAATATGGTGGTGGTGCTGGGCTGATGCAACTGGACTTCGTGATCTTAAAGGTCTTTTCTGACTTCAGTGATTCTGTGACGAAGGATGACATTGTATCTTATACATGAAATTATCCATTCCTACTAAATATTTTACAATTACTCCAGATTTTTAAGTGTACCAAAACAACACAGTGATTTTACTACAAATTCAGCTGTGCCACGTGCAGCAGCGGGCAAACCCGCTCTCTGCTTTTGGCAGGACTTGGTGCCATTTCAGCTCTTCTCTCCACGAGGATCTGAGTTGGGATCTGTTCCCAGCACTGTTCAATGAATTCATAAATGACATGAAAAGGGCTCAACAGTGAGATGACAACATCTGTTGATGATACCGAAGTTGTTCGCAGTAGCAAAAGCAGTAAATGAGTGGGAAAAACTGAAAAAGGACTGTGTGTACATTACTGACTGGACAGTAAAATATACATCAATGAAACCCAGGAGGAATCTCCATGAAATTAAGTGTGAAATAGGATGACTGGAGGTGGGGAAAGTGGTTCTACCTCATGTAGAGGTCAGTAGGATCCAAAGTGACTCAACCCTTGCAGCAGGCTGAGCTCCAGAAAACTGTGATTGTCACGGAGAGAGTACGTATGAATTATCTAAGTCACTTCCAGTACAAGCAGCAGATTTTTTTATGGAGTTCTGGTTCTAAACCAATCAAAAGAATATGGTTCCTCACTGAACAAGCTGCCATGTTAGGTAGGCTGGAGAACCACTGAGTTTTACAGCTCCTAATAGTTCTCATTAACAAATTCCAAAAGACAGGTCCAGTAATCATTGTAAAAAAAGAAATCTAGCTCAGTAAATCCCTGTGCTACAGATGCCTGGAGAATGAAGAGTGTGCAGAAGGAGGATCTTACTCTCATTCTGTTCCTGTGCTCCTCAAAAACCCACCTGTGGCCATGGCTCTGGATGAGTGTACAAGAAGAGCTGCCCTCCTGCTCTTACCCTCACTACATCTCTGTCAGTCACCTTCTCTGTCACAGCTATAATATCCCAAAGGACTGTTACAGTGTCGGCATCTCTTCCTTGCTTGTTATAAATATCACAACATAGATCACATCATCTAGTTTCACACCACAAAGGGGGAGCTCTAAACAGGCTAATACCAACAACTCTACTGCTAAAAACCCCCCAAACATTTTATTAGCTATTTCACTGATTTCAAAGAGGGATCAACAGGTCCCTAAAATAACAGTAAAGTTGTCGGACCTTTTTATTCTACTCTTTCTGTGTAATCTGTCAGAGAAAATCCTCTGAACTAAACTGGAAAGGCATATCCAAACTGCACAGCAGTAGCAGCTGGAGGGCAGAGAGGGATCTGGTGACTAAGCATAAGGTCTATCAATCATCTCTTAGATAATTCTATATGCAAAACCATTATCATTGCAATGCAGCTTTGATCCCCACAAACCATTCATCCACCGAAGTGCAGCAAAACAGTTCCCTCCTTCTGAAAGGAAAATCAAGCCCAGACAAAAGGGTCCATTCACTATTTGAGTTCCCTCTTCCACTAACTGGAAGGTGACTTGCTGCTTATTGCTCATTTTCACTACATGCTCCTCTTGCTAAGAAGAGAAACTCCCTTTGAAAAATCCCAACCTGAAAAATTACCTGGATTTCCAAGCAACGAGATCAAAGTCCTACCTATTCTAGGAAACAGTCCTATCTATTTAACAAAATTAATGGGTATTTTAATGACACACTACCACACTGTAATTGACTCTTGATACAGTTGTTCTGATGGTATAAAAATAAGGGAAAATTTTAACCACAGCATCAAAATAATCTCTAAGAGAATTACCATATCAGCATTTGCCATTTTTTTCCATTCAAAAAGACATCATCAAATTACTTCAACATGGAGCATAACAGAAATCTTCTGCTACAGAAAAAAGACTACAAAGAAAATTTTACTTTTTCTGGGTGCATATAGCACTGATTTTTTATAGTCAAGGCTACAGAAACAACTTCTATGTTGACACATATTGAATCACTTTAAGAGATTAAAATTATTGAACAAATCACTACTCCTGAGCTTCTATTCCCCTTTAGTCCTGTAAAACTTCTCAGGGATAAAGATTATTAAAACATAAACTATATACAAAACATCAGAACTCAATTCTGCCTGGTCACTGTAGTTTCTTTCACACAGCCCAGTTGCCTAAATTTAGCCTGGATGTTTTTATTTCTATTACAAACTATGTTAACAAACTCCACGGGCCTCTCCAGCACCCTCCATACTGAACCACAGGCTTGTAGATGAACCCTGGAAAAACTGCCAGGGTCAAATGACAGAGTTGGGAAAAGGAGGATGAGTAAGTGGGTTGTACCAGGAATGAAGTGTAACTCCACTTATCATGGGAAGCTCTGGCTGGGAATGAAACATGGAGAAAAAAAGCAGAGGTGAGTTTGATATACAAATGCATTTATTTACACACTTAGAAGTTTCTGAAATGTCAGACAAATAGGCTAAATCAGTGGTTCAGGCTGAACTATCCACGGAGGGAGAGAGGTTCTTTTCTACAGGCACCTTTATAGAGGCAGGTCATCCCTGGAATAGGAACCTTCAAGGAGCTGTTCATCCTAACCTGCTTTTCACCATCTGCTTCAGCAGAACCTGGACATCTAAGCTTCACGAGAAGACTCTCACCCACAGTACTCAAGGCAAAACAGAAAAATGGAGGTTCTTGTGCGTGTTTAGTTAGTAGGAGTATCGAAGATGAAACTTCTCTGTGCACACCCTTGGGAACCCTGCAATCCTTTGCCCGATTGCTACCCAGCTATTACACGAGGCTTACACAAATACACCCAAAAATGCTCTTTCACAACTATCCAATTCCACCTTTGAGAGTTATTTAGGCTTCTTGGAAAGATCTGGATTCACACACACCAACTACCTTTACTGTACTTGCACAGTGTCTCAATTTTGTAGCCTCTCCACTGTGTTTGGTGTGGATGCTTTGCCAGCACACTCCCTTCACATGTGAAAACAGCATTTGTCTCAAAAAAACCTCACTTTTCTCAGCTCCACACTGAAAGGAACTAAACAGCCTGAAGAATTACTTCAAAAAGAAAAACAATTTGGCATTTAATATGTAGTGAACAATGAACCAATGAACTGGAAATCAAGTATTAGGGTGGAAAACTGCAGCTGTACTCAGTTGGTACCTGCAAGTATTCACTTCTGAAACGGGGAAACAGCTGTAAAAGGTGTCAGTGGTTACTGGAGAGATTCTGTTTGTATTCCCTCAAATCACAGAGCTGCCACCACACAATTCTTACTTCTTCTTGGACCCACCGTATCTAAAAAACAATGATCCTCTTGTGCTGTGGAAGGGATGGAATGTGAAATCCCATCCACATCCCAACAGAATCCCACAAACATTTTGGCAGGGAAAATTTATTATGTAAAGCCCAGATGGCATCCCAAATATTTCTACTTCAAAATTTAGACCTTTTTTTTTTTTTTGCTTAAAATAAACTATATAAAAGCATCACGCCTAAAATTAACTGTGCAAGAGCATCAGGCAAGGTAACCAGACTTAACTGAGCAGTTATTTGGACTATGGGAAGAATGGGAATGTGGTTTTCTCCATTTAACTCCATTGTCAGAAATGAATAATATTTTTCTATTCAACTACATTTGAATGACTGGCAGAGAAGGAAGATATAATAAGCAGATACATCCAGTAACATATTCTACTTGTAGAAGAACTTTTCCAGTTATCTAAAGCCTAACAGCTTTGCCACCAACTTCTGTAGCAACATTTCAAACTTTCAGAAATGAATTTGCCATTTTTTTGTATTTTTTTATTATTCTAATGGGGTTCTTTCACTTAATATTTGCTTTTTTTCCACAATGCAATTTCAGCTCTGACTCTGGGAATATGGGCTTCAAAATGGCTTTGGCTGCTGTTTCACCAAAGCAGCTAAACCTGATTATCAGTTCAGTTTAAACATGGATTTAGTCACTGCCCACCCCTTTAGGCTCTGGGATGAAGATCGATCCCTGATTCCGACTGTCATTTTTCCAGTGAGCCCACTCCTACATTCCTTTTATATCTATCACTTCACTGAATGCCAAAGAAATCTCAGTGTACTTGGCATGAAGGCTGCACTTCCTATATTTATGCTCCCACTAATGTATGCTCCGTTTTAGTCCTTTACCAGCTTAAAATCATCTGAGGGAAGACGGTACGAAACGCAAAACAGTCCAGGCAACGGTTTTACTTACACAAAATACTGTTCACCCACACTGCTTTCCATCACCACCTTTCTCCTGGATTTTATGTTTAAATATCCCCAAAATACGAATGGTGGCAATTTTTCTTACAGTCATGTCATGTTTGTTGCTCCACCTCAGACTTTCAGTACTTCCAGAAAATAAATCAGTGCTTTTTAATTGTACTACCTTAACTTTGCTGGCAGAAGCACATTTGGTTCTTCAAGGCAGATGAAAGTGAAATGCTCTCTCCAGGCAAGAATTCCTTATATCTGGCAGGCTAACACTTCATCCTTTTTAATTATTCCACAGGTGGTTGCCTTGGAAACTGCCAAGTAGCTCTTGGATTTGAGGGATCCAGCATGAGAAAGTAACAAGCCTCTGTAGCCACGGCATCCGGATCCACGCTGGCTGCAGCAACAGGAATCAGAACAGTCACGAAAACCTGCAAGAGATGGTTAAAACGAGCAGGGATTAATTGCATCGCTCAATTCTTCAGATATGAAATACAAAGAATGCTGATAACCCCTTAACAGCAGATGCAAACTCCGTTTTAGGGAGACACTGCCAGTGGAGCTTCCCGGCACAGCCCTGGATTTCACCTTTGGAGGACAGCGCTGGAATTGTAATGCTGAAGGACCTCACGAGTTCAGCTTTCAGGATCCAGCAAGATGATATTTTCCTCGGCTTCAATAGAGACCTTCCTGAGCATCTGGTCCAACTGCCTGAAATTCAGTGCTATTGTTTAGCTTTGAATAAAAATAGAGTGACTATAAATAGCTCCCACCACGAATGCTGAATCACTGTATTCCGTATCATACAGCAAATTGCTCCCAACTTCATTTAGCTTCTAAAACTAGGAAAATTTTCTTTGCTTAAAACACAATTACAAGCCTAGCAAAGCATCTAATTCTGCTTTCAAGTCGCTGGTCTAGAAGTGCAGAAAATGTTCCTTTCCCTCTCTGATTTCTCGTTATTTCAAAAGCTGATAACTCGCACTTAAATGTACAAATAAAACCGCCACAAAACCAAAACCAAAGCAAAACCTAATTACATTTTCTGTCACTGGTCAAGATTAAAAATCTCAATTTTTCAAAAACCTTTTTCTTTTTGTTTACCCATTTTCACTTTTTAACCAAGAAACAGTTCAGCAATACTCCTCAGAAAAATCATTTTCATTCAAACTATCGGTCATGCAAATGGTCACTCCCACACCCAGAGGCCTCCCTATCATTGCTGATATGATTAATATGCCCAAGTTTACAATGATTTCTCAAGACTTCACTCATATGGAAGTACTTGGATTAGTGGTATATTAACAAACTGCCTGGCAGGAACCGAAGTAAGACGTGGATTTTCCTTCACCCTTCCATAAAGAGACACCCAAAAGACACAAGAATACGACTGTTAATACTAGAGATGAGTTTTACTAGAACAAACTACAGTAATTATGTATTTATTGCACAGAAAAAAACTCAGGTGAAGTAACAGAAAGAGTTTATGAATGATCCCCCCAGTGTCCACTCTGCCCTCTCTTTTTTGCCTTCATCAATCACTTGCTTGATTGAAAATTAGGACACGAAACCATTTTCCTCCTCTCCCTTCTTCCCTCCCTCATTGCATCCCACCAAGGACAAAGCACTTTTAAAGTAATCCTATACAGGTTGCCTTCCTAGTGGGTTCCATAGGTTTTCCTTCCTTGCTTCCCCCCGCACATCTCCTTCAGTCACGAAGTTTTCCCCTTTACAAACAAGGTTTCTGACATGAGCTGACAAAACCAGGCATTTTCTTTCCCTCCTACCCCAGCACTTCCAGGAGCGAGACCTATTTAATCCTCTTTGGATTCAATTTAGGATGAACATGAGCTTTCTGAACCCCTCTGTCCTGCCAGCCCAGGGTACACCCGCCACCCAGTCATCCACCTCCATCCCCTGGGAAAGGCAACCTGCCTCCCTTTCAGCTCATCAGGTTTGGTTTGTTCAGTATCTTTCAGGGATTTTCCCTGCAGAAGTGGCATGCCAAAATACTGTGGAATATCCAGAGCATTTCTCTGTTCCTCCTCTTCACAATTACAGCTATAACCACCACATGCAGGAGAAAACACCTTTTCTGCCCCAGTTCTCCCAAGTGTCTTCGACAGACTGAGTCTCCACAGCCTAAAAACGACCCTTTTATCACAGATGGATCTTTCCTTCGAGGAAAAGTAGATTTTTCATCCCTGCCTCAGGTATCTTAACATTTCAAGCACGTCTCACTCTGCACTCATGATATGATTTCTTTGCTTCTCACAGGGCAGAGAGAAGAACTCTATGATGTCAACTCAGAGTGTTCATCTATCACTGTTCCAGCCAAATCTGGTACTTGACCAATTCCCCAAAGTTAGTCCTTTTAACCCACTGAGATGTTTCCAAAACCAGAGCACCCAGTTCTCAACAGGCTCTAACGCCTCCCATTTTCATTTGCCGTATTCTCGGAGCAGTGTCATCCTGAGATCAATTCAAAAGTTCTGTTGCAAGTCTTCTTCTAACTTGATTTAAATCCTACACCGTTCGAAAGGAATGTCTCAACAAGCTGATTTCTGGAGTCTTCACCTAAAGTAGGTGATGAAACTACTGCATCTTTTCCCTGTCATCTCAGGGCAAGTAAATAATTTCAAAAGCTGTAAGAGATGTCTTGCTAGCTTTTTCCTTTTTTTTAAATTTATTTTGGAAAACTTTGTGAGATGTATCTAAATTAAATATGCTCATTTTAACGCATACTCTTCAGATATTGTTTCTGTGAGCAGCTCCACCTGTGCACTGGGTTATCTTTGCCATGTTCCTCCTGTTCAAGCTTCTTAACCCCAGTTCTGTCTCTGCCAATCTGGTGATGTGACTTGGTTCTTGGGGACTCAATAGATAAAGGTCATGCATCTGAGCCATGAAATGAATAATCCAATGCCTGACTCTGATTCCTTTTAATTTCTGTAACACTTGCCCCTCCCAGGTGCCACAAAGACACCCGGACCACCAAGGAGCTCAACCAGCTGAGTTTTTGGCCAACCCTTCAAAAAAAGGGATGTCACGCTCCCTGCAGCTCTTTTCTAGACTTGAGGGAATGTTTCTGTCCCACTGTCTCTTCAAAATACAAATCAGATCTTCTGCCTCAGTCTTCAGGGAACACAGATCCTTGCTCATTTCCAGCCCCCAAGCCCAGAGCTGCCTCAAGACTCATATTTGTCTCTACCACCACTGCAATGAGACTCTGAGTTGCTGAGTGATGGAGGAGCTGCCTGTTCCCTCCTTCAGAATGAGCATCATTAAACACTAAAAGCACTGTAAACTCCAGAGCTCTGTGTTATTAGCAAAATACATAAAACATGGCACTCGTGAACAGTAAAACTAAAAGCAAGATGAATAAAATACTTTTAAGTAACTCCCCTGGTCCACTGTGGTTTCACTTAGTTTTTTTTCAAGCTTGTTCTCAATCCATTAACAACCCAATTTTGCAAATCCCTTTGCATCCCTGAAATAAGTCTTTGTTTCCATGTTGGAGTGTGCACCAACACTGCTGGTTTTCTCCTCCTCCATCTCCATTCCTGCCGAAGGCTCCTTTCTGACCAGTCTCCATCCAGTCCTCCAAAAAGCTGCTCCCCAGAAATAAACTCAGATGCTCTCAGGGAATGCACCATCTCCCTCCTACCAGAGACTTGCAGCTGATGGTAAACACAGCAACCAGGAGAGCACGACAGGGAACCTTCCCCACACTGTACTCAGCAAAGACACAAGGAACTCAAACACCGCTCACGGCGCATCCCACACTGGGGTTTTCAAAAAGGACCAAAAGGTCAGCCTGCCAAAACCTCAATTAACAAGACCCGAGTTCTTAATTCCCTTTTTCCCTCTGCAGAATTTCCTCTTTGGTTTATGTAAGGTACATTCAAGCCACGACGGTGCTTCACAGTGCAAAGTTCTTTGTCCTGTTCTTGGTTCCACCCACAGCTCAATTAATAATTTGGAAAACTTAATGACTTTTAAAATTTTGGTTTCTCCAGTTACGACTTTTTTTTTTTTCCCCCTCTTAAAAAAGTCTTCAGAACTCGCTATGCACGAAACTGATACACAGCCACAACCACATTCCTTAGCAAACCGGAAAACCGATGTTTTCTTGACAACTGTACTTTTAGCATCTGCAGGAGGCACACAGACGGCTTTTACCAAGTACAAAACTTACTCTGAATTTAACGTTTTGCATATTTTTAAAATAAATGCATTGTAGATAACAGATACAACAGCAAAGACGGACTGCCAGTCAGAGTGAGCCCCACTGCTCTCTTGGGAAAATAAAGTTAAAGCCTCCCACTGACTCCAAAGGCAGTGGAATAAGGTTCCAGAAGCAATTAATCATTTGAGATTTTTTTCTTAAGAGAAATCCTCTTATTTCAGCACTGTTTACTGATCTTCCCTTCTTACATCCTTTATTTTCCAGCTGAAAAGAAGTTAAATGGTGTTCTAGCAAGAGATGTCAAACTTCAATACTTCTTTTTTTTGAGAAAGCTCGTCAATTTTTTATGTTTTACTATTTGAAATATAATAAGGAGAAAATAGCAGCAATCTTCTGAAAACATTAATGGCTGGCAAGAATCCCATCTTTTCACGAGGAAAGAAAAGAGCCTGTAAAGAAAATTATTTGCTATTTACTATGATGAGGTTTTAAGGTTTACTTCCAAATGTTTGGTAAATAAAAAAAGGCATCTTTCTCTTAAATTATTTTGAACTACAAACAACTAAATCAGACTGCAAAGCTTTCTTTAAACTGTTCCACCTTCAGTGAAGATCATCACGACTTGGCTGCTTTACAGCTTCACCAGGCTAATACACATCTGCACAATGAATACTGAAACAAAGATGAAAAAGAACAGAAAAGACACCCTTCTCTGTCTTCAATAAAAAAAACCTAAAGTGAGAATTTTAAATGAGAAATATGGGAATTTCCCCTATAAAAATCACAGGTGGCCAGAAAAATTTCGGCCAAGCAAAGTTTTCCCAGAGTTTCGACAAAAACATTATACAAAATAGATGTAGAAAGAACCATCAGGTTGTAAGACACTGCCTGGGACAGGACTAGTTAAGAAGAGATGCCAACCAGCAACTGCATGAAGGGAAATGAGAAGGTAACCAAGACAGGTAACACAGTTTGTAGGCTCGGTCAGTAGAAATAAAGACATCTGAAGAAGGGAATCACAGAATCATTTAGGTTGGAAAAAGCCCTCCAAAATCATCTGAGTCCAACCACGAACCCGACATGGCCAAGATGCAGCAGCAGAACATCCTCAGGACAACCGTGGCTGGGCAGTTTCAGGAAGCTAAATTTGGGACTGCCCAAAATCAGATGGTCACTTTAAAGATGTTTATGAGTTGAATCACACTGGCAATGGGTCAGATGTGAAGGGAAGGGTTTCC